AGCGAGGAACAAAGAACGCTCGGCTCGCCCCGAGGAAAGAATAATTGACACAATTGGCAGGCTCGCCGATGATTATAATGTAAATAAACGCGGGGCTCGTTTAGCCCGGCGAGTTTTGAGATGGGTTTTAACGAGGGGGATCAAAAACAGCGCCTAAAAAAAAAAATCCCTCAAATCCCTCCTTTTTGCCCCATTTCCCGCTCGGGGTGCGGCTCTCCAGGGATTGGAGGGGGGAAAATCCCACGGGGAGCATTGCCCGGAGTGAAATCCTTGGGAATTGTGACGGGCAGCGAGCAGCAGGTTCCTGATGCTCTAAGGAATTGTTCAAATCGTGGAATTAGGGAATTATTTCTCCGGGAAAAGCCCTCTGAGATCCTTGATTCCAACCCAGCAGGGTCAAGGCCACCACTGAGGCACGTCCCCAAGTGTCACATCCACACGGCTGCTGCTGGAATTAGGCAGGAACAGGGCCGGGAAAAGCCCTAAAAAATAAATAATGATTATTAAATTTTTTTTTCTTCTTCTTTTTGGTTTTTTTGTTTTTTTTTTTCCTTTTTGGCCAGCTTGACTCTTGATTTCAGAAAGGAAAAGGGAACAAGTTCCTATTGGAAGCCGGAAGTCGGGAAGGGTTTAAGGAGTGCAGGGATGACCCCAAATCCCACCCAGGAAGTTTTTAAGGAGTGCAGAGATGATCCCAAATCCAACCTAGGAAGTTTTTAGAGGAGTGCAGGGATGAGCCCAAACCAGGAAAGGTTTAAGGGGTGCAGGAATGATCCCAAATCCAACTCAGGAAGGGTTTAAGAGGTTCAGGGATGATCCCAAACCCAACCCAGGAAGTTTTTAAGGAGTGCAGGATTGATCCTGACTCCTCTGGGTTCCCAGAGCCCAGGATGAATTTCCCAACCCCTGATCCCCTCCAAGGAGCTCGGGGTCTTTCCCCACGGAAAATCAGGGCTGGAAAAGCGGGGGGCTCTGAGGAGCCGGGTGTTTCTCCCGGGGGTTTTTCCCGGATATTTCTCCCAGATATTTCTCCCAGATATTTCTCCCAGGTGTTTCTCCCGGGTATTTCTCCCTGATATTTCTCCCGGGTATTTCTCCCGGGTGTTTCTCTCGGATATTTCTCCCGGATATTTCTCCACGTTTTTCCAGGCCGGGGGAAACACTCCGGGCTCGGGGCTTGACCCGATCCCAAATTATCACGGGGAAAAGGGCAGGAATGGGAAGCGGAGGCGGGAGCTGCATCCAGGGGCTGGTGCCGGCCATAAATGCGTTCCTATTAGGAAGTCAATACCCGGCTGGCAGCTCCTGTCTGTGCCGATCCCTCATCAGACAAAGCCTTGACCTTGACCTCATTGTCCCGTTTGCCGGGAGCCAGAATCCCGGGACAACTCGTATTGGCGCTCTAATCCATAAATATTGATTCATTGTTTGCAGTGTAATTTAAATGTCAGTTATAAGCCCGGGGCAGATAAAGATCTGTATCAACAATAAACTGGAGAGGCCATAAATCCCTCGGGCTTCCAATGGAGCTGCAGCGCCGGGAAAGGAAAAGCAAAAACAAAGGGAAAACCTTTCCCAAAGCCCCGTGTGTGTGTGCTGGGAGGGAGGGAGGACATCGATGGTCCCGGACAGCCCCGAGCTGGGTGGCCCCGGGGTGGCCGACAGGAGATTCCTGCTCCGGACAGGGCTGATCCCAAATTCTGCTGAGTCTCCTGCGGCCTGGTCACTCCTCCTCTTCATCCTCCTCTTTTTCCTTTTTTCTTTTTCTTTTTCTTTTTCCTCCTCCTCCTCCTCCCACAATCCCCCCATGGTCTCCCTAAACCGTGTTTATTTTTTTTTTCCACCCTCAGGAACAGGGGGACAAACCTCCACCCATAATTTGGGGTCTGCCCCAAAACCCAGAAGAACGCCAGGTTTTGCCTGCAGTGCTGCTCGGGGTTATTTTCCCCTTTAAAGAACAACCACTGAGAGGTTTTTGTTGGTTTTTTTTTTATGTCCTGATATCTCTGGGAAGCAGCTCTGGAGCTCGTTATTTATTGAACTTTAAAGGGAATCTTTTCCATCAGGTTTGCAGCGGGATAATCTCCTTACTCTGCCTGACACTGCTGTGGAAAAATGGGGCCAAAAAATGACATTTTTTTTCCAGGGTTGGGGAGGAAAATCCTGGAGATTAAAGGGAATGGTGGCTGCTCCCCGTAGGAGGAGGCTCCCAGGGGTTTATTCCCAAATTCCCAGAGTGCAGGGATAGCCGGGATTTGAGAGGGGATAGCCAGGATTTTGGGAAGGGTGGGGAGGGAGAGCCGGGATGGAATTCCCAGAGATTCCCCGGAAAAGTCCAAGGCCAGGCTGGAGCAGATCCATGGGCTGATCCCAACCAGTCACATTTTATGGGAAATCCGAAAGGATTTGGGTCCTGGCAGGGTAAAACCAGCCCCAAATCCAACCCCATCTCCACGTGAGTGCTTCAGTGGGATCAGGGAATGCGAGGGGGATTTGCTAATCCCGTTGGTGTCTGGTTTCCCAAAATTGTTCCCAGCACCTCGGGATAGGCCTGGCTGGTGGGAATGCACCCTCTGGATTGGCCAAGGGAAAAGTTTCCACTTCCCAAAGTTTTAATCCTGATCCTCAGGGGAAAATCCCAGATTTGGGCTGGGATTTGTGTCTCGTGATTTCGTTTAATCCCCACAATCCTCTCAGGGAATGGAACAGTGGGAATTATCCTGGGGGAGCAGGAATTATCTCAGGACAACAGGAATTATCTCAGGACAGCAGGAATTATCCCAGGGCAGTGAGAATTATCCCAGGAGAACAGGAATTATTTCAGGACAACAGGAATTATCCTGGGAGAGCAAGAATTGTCCCAGGACAACAGGAATTATCCCAGGGCATCAGGAATTATCCTGGGACAGCAGAAGTTCTCCCAGACAACAGAATCCTCAGGATCTGCAATTCCTCCCTCCAGCAAATCCCAAACCTGGAATGAATCCCAAACCTGGATCCCCTCACCAGGACAGGATGAGGAAGGTGCAGCTCCAGCCCCACTGGGTCACCCCAAACTCCCTGGGGCAGAGGGAATTTTGAGGATTCGAGTCCTTTCCTTTCCTATCCCAAACCTATCAGGAATTCCCAGCTCTCCAGGATGGATTAATCCCAAAATTCCCTCTGAGCAGGGAACCCACGCAGGACTTTGTGCATTAATGGAGCATTCCCAAATCCTCCAGGCTCCCTCCTGGATGTGTCCCTGTAATTCCAGGGAAATCCTGTCCTTTGTAAAGATCAGATCCGGATCAATCCAGAACCACGGTTTATTTTCCAACCAACCCTCCCCAACAAAAAAAAAAACAAAAACCCAAACAAACCAAAACCCAAATCCACAAAAACACTTTAAAAATGATTTGTTGTGACCGCCAGGCTCCCCCAAATCCCCCCAAGAATTCCAATCCCCCCTTCCCCATCCTTTATCCCTTAAGGTTCTTTCTAATTCAATAACCAGGATTCCCAATCCCGGCCCAGCTCCGCTCCTGGATCCTCCCCCCCCCCGGTTAAGCCGTGTGGGATTACAGCCCGGTAATCTTTGGGAACACATGTTGGCGAGGATAAAAGCAATTTTGTTGGGAAAACCGAAGGCCACGTTCAGCCGGAATCAGCTCCAGCTGCACGGAGCTCTCACCCCTCGGAGGCCCCGCGGGAGGAGGGAATTAAGGGAAATAAAACCCCAAAAAAAGCGGAATTTTGGCCGTTTTCCCCCCAAGATCGGTCCAATTTGCCGATGTGTGCCCGGGCAATAATTCCAGCCCGGGGTTTTCTCGGGCTCGGAGCTAATCTGGATGTAATTCCCGAGGCCCAGCCGGGGATTAGGGGTTATATAAATGTAATTTCCTAATTAATCAGCGCGGGGCCAGCCCCACGCGGGGTTTGTCACCAGCAGCGGCACCCGGAGCCCGGCGGGAGCCAGGGCGGGGTTACATAACTGGGAAAAATCCGGAAAATCCGCGGCCATTCCCCAAAAACCCCAAAAGGATCAGGACGCCCCAAATCGCCGGGATTTGAGTTTTTCCTCAAGATCCCAACCTGTGGGAAGCTGAAAGAAAGAGGATTTTGTTTTCTTCCCCCAAAAATCCCATGGCAAATCTCGCTCCACACACTCCTGGAAAATCAACCGCAGCGTTCCTTGGCTGCCCTATTTTTCCAGGTGTGTTCCACCAGCGCTAATTAACTAATTAACTCTCAGGTAGATTGGAGCACTCCAGCCTCCAAATGCCAAAACAAATCCTGCCATAATTCCCAGGAATCCTTTTCATTAGCGGCTGCCTAATTATCCCATTAATAGCACGTCCCGGGAGACGGCGTTCGCTTGGCAGGCAAATATTTGGGATGAGCTGAGCAAACACGGAGACAAACGGCTCTGTTTGCCCACGGATCTGGGAATGCCAGAGGGGTCAATTCCCAGCGAAAAAAAAATGGGAATCCACGGGAAAAAAAAAATGTTTGATCCAGGGGGAGGAGCTGGAGCTGCGCGGGGGGCACGAGGAAAAAAAGGGGGAGGGGGCACAGCTGGATACACCTGGGCACACCTGGGCACACCTGGGCACACCTGGGCACACCTGGGCACACCTGGGCAGGGGCTCTGTGCTGGTGTCCCTCAGGGAAGGATGTGATTCCCAGAAAATGGAGGATGGGGAACCAAGGAGGATGTCATGGCGGGAGGATGACGTCACAGAGGGATGATGTCGTAGGAGGATGATGACGTCATGATGGTGGATGCTGCCGTGGGAGGATGATGTCACAGAAGGATGATGTCATGGGAGGATGATGTACTGGCAGAAGGATAATGTCATGGCAGGGGTGATGACGTCATAATGGGAGGATGATGTCACAGTATGAGGATGCTGTTGGGGGTGATGTCATGGTGAGAGGATGACGTCACAACAGGATGATGATGTCATGGCAGGGTGATGATGATGATGACAATGATTATTATGATGATGACGTCACAACAGGAGGATGATGACGATGATGACGACCATGGTGATGATGACATCACAGCAGGATGATGATGATGATGAAGTGATGACAATGATGATGATGACATCACAGCAGGATGATGATGACACCCTGGCAGGAGGATGATGTTAATTCCCAGGAACGCAGGTTTGTGTCTGTCCCCAAATCCCGCAGGTCACCTGTGTCACCTGGTCACCTGTGTCACCTGTGTCACCTGTGTCACCTGCCCCACCTGTCCCAGGGTCAAACTGTGGCTCTTCCTGCCCCGCTGTATCCCGGGAGATCCCAATCCCGCTGGAGCAGCCATGCCTGGATCTCATCCCAGTGCCCTGCCCGGGATCTGTGGGGTTTTATTTGGGATCAGAGGGAGCAGGAATGGGGCCAATCTGCCGGGACCCCAACCCTTTCCCGGCCATTCCCGGCCCCTCCCTCACAGCAGCCCAAGGGTGCCGGGACCCTGCCCTGAGGGAGAACGAGGCCATGCCTGGGAAGGCAAAGGTTAATCGGAGCTTTGCCAGGCTGGCCTTGAATGAGCCGAGCCTAAAACGCGGCACAGCCACAGCCAGAGCACAAAGGAGCTTTGAGCCCATTGTGAGCCTGGGCTGGGACCACACAGGGGA